GATCTGCATAACCACTCTAATCATTGTGATTAATCCTTTTTCTTTTCCTTAATGCTTTTTCTAAATCCTTTAATGGAAATCAAACTTTGTGAATCCAGTTTCCTTTTATTGACTCAAATAAAATAAAATAAAACAAGGCATTTTATTCTTTCAGCTTAATGGAAATCTTTGCTTCCTTAGTTTCAGGTTTTGTACCAAAAGGAGGCAGTGGTATTTCTGCTATATGTAAAGGACCTCTGGCCTGAGCGGCAGCTGAATGCCCGTTATAGTCCTCTGACTGCAGTGCTTGTGGTGACAGAACAAGGTTGGACAAAGCTGGAAGGCCAAACACTGCCTGGACAGTCAGTAACATTAGGTGTCCTGATTCCCCTGAAGGCATCATTAAAATTTAATTGTCTCAGATTTTACAAGTCATTACGTTGTTGGACTCAGGCTTAGGGTGACACAGATAATCAAAAGCTTTATCTCTAGCAGTGCATTTTTTATTGATTACACATGCTGCAGTGGCGATTTCTCATTGAATAATAAGGAGGCTAAAACTCCCCTGTAAATTTTGTAAAATTATTGGTAAAATATGCATAGTCAAACTTCATAAATTAAATCATTAAACTGCATTAAATATGGATTAAAATGCGTTTGTCTTCATGAATATGTTGCACATTATACAGCTGTTGAGCCACTTTCAGACGTGACCTTCCCTCTGCTCTGGAGCAGCAGGACACTGTCATGACTTAGCACGTATTTTTTTTTTTTTTGAGTTTTCAGTTATACTTTAAGTCATGTCTTTCTGTGTTTTCCAGTTTATTGGTTTCATTTCCATTTTGTGTTTTTGTAGTTATTTTTTGATTGTATTTGAGTTATTAGGTATTGTTTGACCTCTGCTGCCTTCTTATGTCAGTCTTTTTTTTCCCCTAACTCCCTTCTAGACTTCTCTGTCCATTCCTGCTCCCAATATGCCAATTAGCCTGGTCTTTGTTTAGTCTTCCATTTATGCACCTCATCTTCAGTCTGTTTGCTGGTTCCTTGTTATCGTTCTGTTGCTTCCTCGTCTCTGGCTCCCTACGTGAGTTTTCCTTGAAGTTCTCCTAGATTTTGGTTTTCAGAATTTTTGATATTGGAGTTTTTGCCTCAGTTGACTGTGGAAACTTATTAAATATACTAACTCATCTCTGCATTTGGGTCCTCAAATAACCTCCACTCAACCTGACAGACGCCACTGGTCAGTCTCTATGAGAAATTCCCAATGAGGTTTGGGGCTCGGTCTATTGAGGTAAGCAGGGAGAAATTGGAGCCTTGATTGGATAACATGCCAAAAAACGTCACCACCAGTGAGGCTAAACCTTTAAGGTGGTCTATGGAGCTGGGTGGGTTGTGCTGGCTGCTCGATACTGATTGGCTGAACACACTAAACGATTTTGACTGACAGTGGCCATACAGCAAGGAGGTTTTCCTCATGAGTTGAGAGGAAAAAGTGATCATTCAGTAAAAACCCGTCATGTTGTGCTATAGTAACATGTTTAATGTTTGTTTCAACGTTTGTTAATGCAATACATTACATTTGGATTTAGTTAACACCATTGAGCCTCTCCTGTTTCAGAGAGCAGCAGCCTCCACTGATATGCAGCATAGGTACTTATATATCTGGAAATAAAGACCTCACAAATAAAACTTGTTCAGAATATATGGGGTTTAAATTAGGACAAAAACGAGCTTGAATTGTATAAAATAATGCCCAATAATGGGTCAGTAGCCCATGTTAGTTAACATCCAACTTTGAAGAGGCTACATAAGTTAGAGTGGATCTTTGCTATAAACATAATAACCCTTGCATGTTAGTGTATTTGCTTTCATTTTGACTACCATTGTCCATATCTTATATTGTGCTATTCCACATTATATATCTCGTAGAGGAGGGCCCAGTGTTTAGAGCAGTGCGCTTTTGTCCTGAGAAGGCTGGAAGTTACCGATTCGATCCCCACAACCTGGACTCAGGGTCTCTGAGCAAGACCCTTAACTCCACACTGCTCCCACACGATAGCAGCCCATTGCTCCCCAAAAGAATGGGTTAAATGCAGAGGTAAATATCTCCAATGTGAGATCAATAAAGTTAATTCATTTTCAAAATATTGCAATACTCTCCAAACTCCTCCTTGTTACATAAAATCCAATCTTAGGTTGAACAGAAAGATCTTTGAAGATTTGAAGAAACACTTTCTTACAAATATGTTTTCTTATGACTCAAACAAATATAGAAATTTGGCCATTCTAGATAGGCTTGAATCTGATAGACTTGTCAACAAAGCTAAAGATTAAGGGATGGATGTTCAACCATCATCACCAGTCCTTGGTTTTATTGGTAATAGTGTCCATTGGTTTTAAGTTTTGCATTGAAAGTATTGAAATCAGGAGTGAAAAGAGCAGGAAGACATTCATGTCCTTCAAAATGACCGATTTAAAGTCTGATCCAGCCCATTGTTAAGCTGATGCTTTGTTTTACAGTTTAAAGTGACAAAGTGCTGCAGGTGTATGTTCCTAGGGACAATAAAGAATGCAGCTGTTCAAAATTAAACCCTCAATTTCCAGACCAAAAAGATAAATGTCAAAGAAAACATGTCGGTCCTTTGGGGAAAGAAGGTGGCTGTATTCATCTCCTCTGCATGAAAATAAAAGCAGTTCTTAATTTATTGGAGCTTCAACCTTGTAGTAAGCTGAGTCAGCAAATATGTTTTTATTAATACAGGAAAATAAAGTTTTCCCTCTCTGGAAAGAACAAAAACAGTGATCTGATCTCTGAAAGATACCAATACTTAAAAATATATTGAATGCTCTCACATCAAGTAGTGACATAAATATAATTATGGAGGTGATATTGTGAAATAAATGAGGCTATTACTGTTAAATTCACTTTCCCCTAAAGTGGCTGCCCATAGCATCCTGTTTTACTAAAAGGAAACCAGAGAACGGCAGATGAAATGGTTTTCACCATGTCCATAAGTCGAAAGATTTTACAACCGGAGCAATAGAGGACAAACAATATCAGGGACATCACTTTCATTATGTTTCTTTCACTGCTCCTAAAAACACATTACAAAACCCAGAAGCTGAAATCAGTCCAGTGAACACTTAATAAGGGGCTTATGCCTGAGAGGGGGCCAAAGTTGATGGATTAAAGTTAATGCCAATGCAAAATCTGATGAAATTAGGGCTGAAGGAGGGATTTAGTTGTACACTGCTCTTTTAAAAGGACTAGTTCTGATTTACATAAGGAAACATTACAATTTTGATTCATATAAATAAAAAAGACATTAAAACCTGTTCAAAGTTAAAGATATAGTGGAAGATGTTCGCAAATTTTTGAAAAACCTGCCCTCTCCAATAAAAAAAAAAATGCACATGCATCACCCTGTACCTGCTCCTGACAGGGACGCGTGCGAAAGCATGCAGGAGCCCATTTCTCCTCGTGCACGCTCTGTTAAGTTGCTGTTTGCATCTCTCATACAATCTTCTTTCCAAAAGAAGATTTGCAATTTTTTCCACTATGTCAGACTCACCACGGGTAAGTGAAAATAGGGACAATCAAGTAGGACGGCCTTACCGAAATGTATCACCAGAGTGATGGACAATTAGGAGAACCACTTATTTTGATGATCCACCCGGAAAAAGAACATCCTCCATTATACCTTTAAACGCTTATTTTGGAAGAAGATACAGCACATCCACTTTTCAACCTCTTGCAAAAGGTTTTACTCCCCTTTGGGCTGGAGAAAGTTATGAGGCGGGTTAAAAAAGCATTAGGTTGCAATAATAGGAGTGCTGCTTAAAATGCTGAAAACTTAACTGCAAAGTTACAAATGCATGACCCTCCAGATAAACTGAGAGAACAATCAAAGAGTTTATTATTCAGAGAAGCAGCCATCATCACTGTCCTCTGTCCTAAATGCTTTACCTGCTTTTCCCCTTTTGGTGCCGTCCTGATGTAAATGAGTTAGGGATAATCAGGCTTTTTTTAATGGCATGCTGAGGAGATAATATAGTGATTTGAATCAGCTGTACTAGAGCAGAGGTATGAAGGACTTTGGGTCCTGAGAGCGAGCAGGGATGTAAAGGGAACCTAAAATGAACTTTAAAACCTGCCCCCAAAATGCTTTGCATGATGGAAAACTGAAAAGTCAGCCTGAGGTTGTCATTCCGATTGTGAAACGAGACAGAGAAGTCAGTCAGTTGATGAGAAGATAGATGGATCTAAATATAGGCTGGAAAGAAAAACCTGTAAACATGGAATAAGAAAGTATGGAAAGCTATGAACCATATTTATTCTCTCAAAATCTAACCAAAAGCAAACTTTGTTGCTGGAACAAGGCAAAATGTGGAGAGGAGCTGCAAGTTATGAAAACTTGTGCAAAGTCATGTGTCATGGATAAGCATGAGAAGATACAGAGTTAAAGGATCGTACTCCGACTTCATTTAGAGCACAGGTAGTTTTATTGTTTTGCTCTTTATTTCAGAAAAAATATGGTTTACATAAAATAAAGGAATATTTACAAATCTGAAGCAATCTATTCTTTTGAAGTAAAACATCCCTCAGGGGCGTCCTGACTCTTATACTCTGTGCACTTATGGTAATTAACTTTACATAGGTCTCCGTCTTTGACACAAATTTGAGGTAAATACAGATAATTTCGCGAGGAAAGCAGATCTAAAACTACAAGAATCAGCCAAAATATCACATAAATAAGCCAACACTGAAAAAAAAATCTAGATAAGTACTTTTGTTTCTTAAAATAAGTGTATTTGTTCTTGAATTGAAGAGGTAAAAGAGACAATTTGCCAATGTGACAAGGCAATTTACATTTAAAATAAGAAAACACAATTCCATTGTCTTATTTCAAGTGCATTTTACCTAATTCTCTTATTTTAAGAGTAAAAATACTCATTAAGTTGGCAAATCATGTCATTTACCTACTTAAATTAAGGGTAAATACACTGAATATAAGAAAATTGTACTTATTTCTAGATTGTTTTTCAAGTGCAGTTCTATTGTATTACTTTTTGTCTGTAATGTTAAGGCCACTATTGTCAAAAAAGGAGAAAAATGAATCAAAAGCAGATTTATAGACTATATTGAAAGAGAATAAATGGACATATAACATTAATATTATATGAGCTTCGTTTAAATACGATCCACACCTTTTTTTTTTCTTTAAAGATGGTGTTCATTCAGTATTCATGGAAACAATGGATGTAGTACATCTGTCTGTATGATTAGATGGAATTCATTCAATAAAATTGTGTTATATAAATAACCTGAATTTATTTAATTTGAATACACAGAGCTTCCACTCTGAGCTCTAAAGTGTCCTAAAAAGAGATAAGAGAAAGTTCTTCCAACTCCTATGTTGGTTTTTCCCTCAGGCCAAAAAGTAACCAAGCTTTTTAGATTAATTGTGGACTATAAACTGGCCTTTGGTGTGAAGGTCTCTGCAGCACTGCTTCTACAGTAGGTGGGGGAGGCAAATATACAAAGCAGTTATTGTTTGCTGCTTTTGCTTCACCTTGAACATGTCAGTTCCAGTCTCATGTGGGGAGACCATTGATTCCTCCATATTTTTGTTCTCACTTACCGTTTGGTGCCTATAATAAGCTAGAGAATTGACTTTACAGGGTTTATGTTTTACAACAGCTTAAACGTATTTAGAAAAATAAATAAATAATGCAGCACAAAAGAAACCCCAAATAACCCAGCCTCACACAATCAAAAAACAAACAAAACCCAAAGAGTGAATTTGTGTGCGCAGCGACAGGCATTATTATACATCAAAACCCTGCAGGAAAGTCATATTAATGTTGGGCATTTGATGAACTATCTGGACTTCTCTTTTTCAGGGTGGAATGATAATGCAACATATAGTTTCAATGGATTTAAAAAACTAAAATTAGGCAGGAGCAAATCTACAGGGGGCTAAAGGGTGCCACTGCCTTCCTATTTTTATATCAGAGCCAACATGTGTTGGCTTTTTATTAATTATGTTTAAAAATATTTGAAATGGTTTGTTTTGTCCAAAAGCTGCCCTTAAATCAAACATTCTTTTACCATAATATTTCATATATATATATCATATACTATTATATCTATTTCATATATAAATAAAATAAATCAGCTGCCATGATGACAGGATTTTTAAATAGTATGGTTTTTAACACCATTGATAAATAATTTCTGGCTTCATATTGCTTTAGGCTTCTTGCTGTGATAATTTTTCTGCAGATTTAAACGCGGAACTTTTCTAGTTTCTTTGGTAAAAAGTAGGGAGGGATGAGAAGTGAGAAATGTCTGTGAGATTACAGGAAAGAAGGATGATAAAAAGACCAGGAGGGTCACAGGAGAGGTCACTCATTGTGGGACAGATGGAGAGTGGAAATTAGGAAAATAAATGTTAGCATAAAGGTGAAGATGAGAAGATGTTGGAGACAAAGAGAGAGAAAGATGAAAATATATAGGACACAGATGAAGGAGAACAGAAAGGCACCGAATCATGGAATCCAGTCTATCTAAACGGATCACCTGCTTTGAATTTATTTTCTGTATAAATTCCAGTAAAGAGATATATATTTTTTCCTTAATGAGACATTTTACTCCTCAGCACAACAATCATTGCCTTAAAATCTCCTGAACTCGATGGCTAAAATCAGTCCTATTTGGTAATTTAATTCATTTTCTGACTTCTGTAATTATTTATTTAGTGGAAAATGTGTTTTTCTCGGTTAGTCTTTATCAAAAGATTGTGTATGTTTCTTAGAAGAGAAAATTACCAAATTAACTTTTTCAAGTGTTTTTTTTAAATGAATTTTTGATTCTCTTCTTTTTACATGGAAGAGATTTCTGAAATATTTCGATGGAGAGTTCCAGTATTGCTGCTCTGCTTAGACATTTTGTGCCCCCCTGAAAATTTTCTATATCCGCCCCTGGAAATAGGTGAACCTCTTTAGATTTGAAGCTATGTCTTACTGAGCCACGCAGATTTAATATTACGAGCTTAGATTAATGCGTTTTATTTAAAATGGTTGGTAACCTGACTTTTAAACACAACTCTAAAAATATCTTAGCTATAGGCTATTTAAAAAAACAGATTTTCACTTTATTTTCGCCTTCAGAACAAATTTGAATGACTGTTTGGGATCATTGTCTTGATAAAACCCCTATTTTTGCCTAAATTTTTATCTAAATGTTGATCAGAAGTAGATTATTAAAAATGTGGATGTGGTCCAAATTCCTATGACGATACTGATTACGGTTAAAACCTATTTCAGACTCTTTTTCTCATTCTCTCTTCATAACAATGCTGCTGCTCTTTGTGATCTTAACTACATTTAAATTGGGTATTAGAGGCAGTAAAATTCAATACTAAGATAAAGTCTTGATCATATGATTAAAAGCCCAATTTTAATATTAAAATCAAACCCACGGTGAATGTATATAACCCTCTGAACTATACGGTATCTTCTGTGAAACACCCAAGTGACACGTCTATGGTTCCTAGAAGCATGAAATAAATACTTATTTAGGTGAATAAATAATGATTAAACTACGTTTAAGCAGATTGAGCTCCAATCAGACAGTAACCAGAGCGAAGAGGTTTCCATTTTGTGTTGTTATTTTTGCGACTAACTGTAATAATTCAACAAATAAAAGGCAGAAAACCCAAATTCCCCTGAAATGTTGAGGTCTTTGTTTTCTTCAGTCTGCAGATCAGTAGGTTTTAGAGCTGAAAAATCCGTCTCACCATTTTAAAGGTGCTCAACTTTATCACTGTGCAAAACTCTTAAATGGCCGCCCCATAGCCAACCAAATGCCCTGGAAGTGCATAGGATTAGATTCGGTCCTTTACAGAAATAGTTCTGCTCTTTGGTCTTACACAACTCCACCCTCAGAGTTGAGGAGGATAATTTTTTCTAAGTCCTTCTTGATGTCTGGGAAGCCCCCGAGCGTCTCCTGAAAGTCGTCACAGGACAAAGAGAAGCACTGGCAGTCAGTCAGCGCCTTGACTGTGGCCAGATGCTTGCCTTTGGTCAGCACGCATGTCTCTGCAGACACAGAAGGAAGCGGTTAATCAGGGAGCAGACCTTAATGACGGGGATGAGCTCTGACAGTTAATCTGAAATTAAATGAACAGACGTTGCTGCAATGTTAGATCTAAATGTTCTGATGCCCAACGAACTGAGACAGAGCCAAGCCAAAAGCCACTGGATTGAGCAAATGATTTAAAGTGAAGGGAAGTCTCTATAAGTCATCAGTTTGTCAAAGCTTCGACCCCCTTAACTGAGCAAACAGTAGCCGTATAGGAAATAACAAAATTTAAAGGTTAAGAGGAGACAGAAATTTAATTTACATCCAATTGAAAACCACCCTGCTATGATGCGTATATCATTAATTTAGTATATTTTTATTGTAATTGAATGTTTTTATTGGTGTACAGCAGAGAATCGTAGAAACATAAGTCACTGTGGCTCGTTAAATATAATGTAAGGTTTTATGGGGTAAGATATAACCCTCAATAATGACGTATGTGTAAGTTTATAAGTTTGCAAATGTACGTTAATAATTATGGAAAAAATGACACCAAATAATGTGATATCATGTTTCATATGCAAGAATATAAGTTTAAAAGTATACAAATAAAAGTTACAACTTTAGGGCGTGCAGGTGGTGCAGTGGTTAGAGCGCACAACCCATGTATAGAGGCCTTAGTCCTCGACGTAGGCGACCCGGGTTTGAATCCGACCTGTGGTCTTTTGCCGCATGTCTCTCCCCCCTCTCATACCCCCTTTCTTCTCAGCCTACTGTCAAAAAAACGAGCCACTAGTGTCGTAAATACAAACAAATAAATAAATAAATAAAAAGTTACAACTTTCTAAAATCACAAATTTACATTTAACTATTGATCGCAAATTTCAAAGTACAGATCTACAAACCCAGGTGAAGCTGTTAAACTCCTTAGCACTAGGTGGCGATAATGCACCAGATAGTTGATTACCAGCTGATTTTAAACAGAACAAGTGGAAGAGAAAAAAAAAATAAAAGATCAAATGTTATATCTTTGCAATATAATGAGTTCAAATTAAGGGGCCAGATTTGTAGGCCGATTACATCATAACGGGGCACCAAGGTCTGTTCAGATAACAAGACAAATGCATCCTTCTTTATGCCCGTTTCGATGGACAGGTCCGGTGTATCCTACGTAGCCTTGGAAATCCCGTGATTCATTGCGATACCAAGCCAGCCGGCTGCTCCGTGCTCAGAGGAAAAAGGTACTTGGCTTCAAACAGTGGTGAATATTGGAAGTGCAGTTACTTCTAATACAAGTATGTGAATAGTTTGTCTGAAACTAATGAAATTTGTTTTTTAAATGGTTATTGAGTAAGGAATGTGGTGGTAATGTTTGATTTATCGAAATGTTTTTATCTGTTACTGTCTAAATGGGTTTGGCTGTAATTTAAGGGCAGATTCTAATACATCTGCAGTGTGGGGATTATAAATCTGATATGATTTTTAGTTTTTATTGCTATTTTGCACAATATGCTTTTTCTTATTGAATATATGTTGGGATCTGGAGTTTTGCCCACCTTCCTCCAGCAGATGGCGCCCTGGATCTCCCGGAGCTGAAGCCACCGCCACACCTGCGGCTGATCAGCTCATCAGGAGGAGCAGCATTTAAGCAGCGTCAGAACCTCTCTTCAGTGCCAGAGTGTTGCGTAGTTATGGTTAGCAAACCTGAGCCAACCAGCCTGCCTGATTCTCTGTCCCCCAGAAAACCTGATGTGACTCTAATCAGTTTTCTGTCTTCTCCTTCTTCTAGAAACATTCAGACCCAGACCTGGATCTCTGGAAGAGTCCCTCTGAAACCAGCCTGCCTGCCTGCTCTCAGTATCAGACCTGAAGAACCTTCAACTGAACCTGCGATCCAGAGGCTTCTAGGAAGAAGCTCTGTGCCCCTCGAGTCTGAAGTAGAGAACTGACGCTGCCAAGCCATCTGACCACAGATCAGACTCCAGACCAACTCGGTTCCCCCTCTCAACCAAGTCAGTCCGAAAACTCAGAACCAGGTACAGAATCCAGCCTCTCCGTCAAACTCCAAATCCCTGTCCATCTGGCTAACATAACTATCCGACTCTGCAGATCTCCGTGTGTGACCAGTCCTCGGGCCTGTAGCCTCATTCCAGTTTCTCCTGTGTTTACTGACTATAACTCTGAACCAAATATCTTTGTACAGCATCCAAAATAAACTGTTAAAACTTTCCCTGTTTCCTTGTGGTGTTCTGCATGTGGGTTAGACACCTGAGCCCAGACATGACAATATAAGAGATTTTATATATTTTCTATACATTGTTTGGATATACTTATATCTTTCTAGCCTACCCCTTTTATATCATTACATTGTCTTTTATTGGTGCATGTTCCCAGTGATTGTCACCTTTATCCCACTCTGTTTTCTCATAAGTGAATTCTTTGTTCACTTTACAATAAAAAAAGAAAAAATAAATAAACAGAGCAGTGAAAAGTTAGTATTCATTCTTTTCCTGCTTTTTGCGTCAACTCTCCCGGTTGCTAGGCAACACAGCATATGGCGGTAAAAGCCAGGGAAGTCTAGACCTGTTCGAATTCACAGCCAAAACTCCTCCGGTCTCCTTATTTTCACGGACCTGAAAAGATCCAGTGAAGGTAGACCGGGTCCTTTGAGGATGCAGCCTTTACCCATCATTTTTTATTGATTTATTCGTTTTTGTCTTCATCTTCCTCTTCTTCTGCCTTTCAGACGTTCTACTGCCACCAGACTGTAAGGAGTGTAACAGATTTATCTGGGTTCTCAAATTTCTACTTGTCATTGCTAGTTGTAGCTTTGCAACCTGTATTCTTAACTTTTAAACCTGTATTCTCACAGATGAAACATGTCACTTATCATTTAAGACATACATTTATCAACGCATGTATTTTAATTGCCAGTTATCTTATTCTATTGGATTTGACTAGTTGTCTGCAAGTCAATTAGGTGAAATCACACTTTATGCAAATGAAACAGTGAAAAAATTATATTAGCATCATGAGTGCTTTTGATTAAAAGTTAGTCAACACCAACCAACTGCATGAAGGACAAAAATGTCAGATTAATAATAATTAAAAACTGTTGTTTCATGACTGATTGTAAAGCAGGTTTAAGACTTCAGTATCTCTTTAAAACAGTGGAAATTTGGAGAAACAAACTATAACTTTTAGTTACTTAACTTTAAGTTTCCCAAAAATCTGCCGCCTATCATGCAGTTGAAAACAAAGGAATTGAGCTCAGAACATGATCATCAGCAATGTTCCAAAAAAGGCTTTAGAAACAAATTAATGAATCGTGACGGCGACAAAACAAAACTATAATATTGTTTACCAGAAGAAGTAATTAACGATTTTAGGACCATAACATTTCTCACAATTTAACCTCAGATGTAAAAAATATTAAACCCACCTCCAAAAAAGTCTCCATCACAGAGCTCCCTCTCATAGGACTCAGTCTCCATCAGGAGCTCTCCGTGATCGATGAAGAACATGCGATCGCCGGGGACGTGCTGTCGAACGATGACGTCTCCCTCCTGGAAAACCTCATAATGTAGTTTTAGGAGGACATCGTTGATGAAGTTTTCGTCTCTGTTCTGAAACATTGGCACTTTCTTCAGCAGCTGGCTGCACATCACCATCAGGATTTGCTGGAAAATCAAGATATGCCTCATGTTGGGATTTATTTTCAATTACGAATTTAAGGATACATGAGAAAAATTGTCTAGACACCGAAATAGTTCTTAGATAAAATAAATATTTTTGCAGCAAGAAGGTTCCAGGTTGGATTCCCGGCCCGGGGTCTTTCTGCATGGAGTTTGCATGTTCTCCCTGTGCATGTGTGCGTTCTCTCCAGGTACTCCGCCTTCCTCCCACAGTCACATGACTGTTAGGTTAGTTGGTTTAGGTGTGAGTGTGTGCGTGAATGGTTGTTTTTCCTGTTTGTCTCTGTGTTGCCCTGCAATGGACTGGTGACCTAGGGTGTACCCCGCCTCTGGACCTTAGACAGCTGGAGATAGTCACCAGCACCCCTCGCGACCCCAGCAGGGATAAGCGTGACGGAAAAAAGATGGATGGATTTTTACAAGCCATGATTTATAATTGCTGATTATCTCTTACTATTATCTTCCATAATTATTTTTTTTTTTCACATTTTTTTTGCATATTTATTTTCTTATTCTTCTCCAAATGTCTTCCCAGTTTGAAAAAGAGTTTTAGTTATAACAGCTTAGTAAAAGTATCTGCAGCTCAGAGATTGGAACAGATTAATAAGGTTCACCTCTTTAAGTGATGAGGATATTGTGTCCATGATGTATTTCTCATCGAACCACTTCCCTCCATAGCGTGCCTGGTAGTAGTTGGTGATACGAAGATGCAGCTCTGGCGGCAGCTTCATGAAGGCCATGTAATGCTCCAAGCGACTCATCTGTGGAAAGTCCCAGCATTATTGATTGATTGATTGATTGACTTTATTGGTCTCACAGTGGAAAATGTACTCGTTAAATCAGCTCAAATAGTCAAAAAGAGAAGAAGAAGGTTGATAAAGGTGCATGGGATATATACAGTATATAAAGTACGTCCACATATGACAGCTTTTTTATTTATTTTTTTATAGTGGGATCATTATACCGGGTAGTGTGTGGTCTGTGGGTTGTCCATGACCATTCTCACCATTCTTCTTCTCTGCCTCTCTGATATTTTTCTTGGCCTCCCACTTCTGGACTTAACAAAAACTGTCCCTGTGGTCTTCCATTTCCTTATGATGTTCTTCACAGTGGAAACTGACAGCTTAAATCTTTGAGACAACTTTTTGTATCCTTCCCCTGAATGACTATGTTGAACAAGCTTTGCTTTGAGTTGCCCACGCTGAATCTTCAGAGGAGATTCAAACAGTTTAAATAAATAAACTTAAATTAAGACATTTTTTCAGTGTTTTCACTGGGTCTTAAGAAAAATAAACTCATTTTCATTTCAAAATCAATTAAAAGCAAGTAGAATAAATATTTAATCCAGAATGGTTTCTCCATTTTAGACCATGGTTCCAATGAAATTTAGCTGTATAAATTCTCAGTGGCACGGGAAGGGGGGTGCTGCGGGGGCTGCAGCCTCCCTCGTCATAGCATCAGCCCCCCCATGGCGGGGGGCTGTGGAGTAACATAATATTGTACTTAAAAACATGAAATTATTTATGTATTTATTTTTTAAAAGACTGTGTTTGATATGGGATTAAAATGATGGGCTGTGTATAAGATATAAACTAATGATTCATTATTTTAATATTTTATAAAAAAAATAGGCTACTCCCCCCGAAGCTTCCGCCACCTCACATTCGTTTAGGCATGGCTAGCAATAGGCAGCAGAAACGTATTTCTGACTATTTCGAGGTGAGAAATGGTTTTAATTCCCCTATACGCTAGAATAAGGCTGCATATCAGTAAATATTATGTCTGTATTAAGCTATTAAGTGATAAAATATGAAATTATTATTTTTTTTGTGTGTGTGTTTTTTGTTTCAGATGTGAAATCATTCCCCATATCCATAGTCAAATGGACTTTCAAGACGTTCAATGGTCAGTTTAGGCTATGTTTAGGCCATGTTTCATTCAATTATTCCTGTTCCTGTTGATTGCGAGCTGTTGTTTGTTTTCAATTCAATTCAATTCAGTTTATTAATATAGCGCCAAATTCACAACACATGTCATCTCAAGGCACTTTACAGTTCAACCAGATCATACAGTCAAATTGATACAAAGTTTTCTATCTAAGGAAAACCAGTTGATTGCATTGACTCATTGACTCAAATACAATCCCTCACACTAAGCATGCTTGTAGCGACAGTGGAGAGGAAAAACTCCCTTTTAACAGGAAGAAACCTCCAGCAGAACCAGGTTCAGTGTGAGCGGCCATCTGCCGAGACCGACTGGGGTTCAAGGAGACGGAAGCAGAGACACAAAAAGCAGCTGTAAAAGGCGGCCTCGTCAAGGAAACACACAGCCAGGCAGACGATCAATTTTGAATGATTAAAAGAGAAGATATAAAGTTTAAAATGTTCATGCTTTGTTCCGATGCATTTTAAATGGCAGTTTTTGGCGACAAATGTAGGCCTACAATATTATGTTAAAAACGTCAGCCACAGCCCTCAACATAATGACGTCACGTGTTTTCCAACCCAGCCATCAGCCCCCCTCACTTGAAACAGCTTCCAGCGCGCCTGTAAATTCTTACCACTCTAGATAAATAAAATAAATTTGTTGGGAGCTGGAGAAGTTCCACCCTTTCTCCAGCAGAGTCCGCCGTGGATCCCTCTGAGTGAGCCTCCTGCACAGCTGCAGCCCATCAGATCATCAGAGGATCCACTATATAAGCTGTCTTCAAGGCCCAGCAGATCACCTCACTCGACGCCTGGAGGAGCAGGATGCCCAAATTCAAGGACAAACCCAAACGCTCCGTGAGTTATATCGCTTGGTTGAAACTCATAATCATATGCTTCAGAGCTGTGCTAACTACATGAACGGCGCTAATGCGGCACCGCAACCATTTCCGGGTCCAGTTCCTCCTCCGAGGTCACCGGTAGTGACATCATCCGAGTTCCGCCCAAGTCTTCCAGAGAGATTTTCGGGTAACATGAAAGATTGCAAAGGATTTTTATTTCAGTGTCGTTTGATATTTCAGAACTCTCCTGGCAGCTTTTCTACGGATTATAAAAAGATAACCTTCATCCTTTCTCAGTTAACAGGAAGAGCCTTGGAGTGGGCTCAGGCAAGATTTGCCACCGACGATAGCCTTAATTGCTATTACCCTGATTTCATCTCCGAATTTACCCAAGTTTTCAATCAAGAAACTGATCAAACTATTGACTCTCGAGCCCTTTTTAATTTAAAGCAGGGTAATTCTTCTGTGACAGAATTTTCAATCAACTTTCGGGTTAAAGCGGCAGCTTCCGGATGGAACCAAAACGCTTTGAAAGGAGCCTATTTCATGGCATTAAATGAGCACATTAAGGATGAGCTCGCAACTCTCGACGAACCTGCCACCCTCGAGGAACTAATTCGTCTGACAATCAGACTGGATAATAGAATCCGTGCCAGAAACAGTTCTAAACCAAGAAATCAGGGGACACTTTCCTCTGCCTCTCATAACGTAACTGTTTGTTCTTCCCCCACAGAGCAGTTGCCCATACAAAGACCTAAGGCCCAGTCTCTCCCTCTGCCGATTCAGGCCTCTCATTCTGGTGAAAGGGATGTCGAACCCATGCAGGTGGGACACACCAGGCTCACTCCTGAGGAAAGACAAAGACGTTTTCTGAGTAAATTATGCCTCTACTGTGGTGAGAGTGGACACTTCATCGCTTCCTGCCCGGCTAAATCAAAAGCCAGGGCCCGCCAGAGGATCTGAGGAGTCTGGCGGGCCAAATTAACACTAAGAAATCTCCTCGACTGTTGCTTCCAGCCACATTGTTTTGTGCTAACCAAAGTCTCTCCTTTTCTGCATTCATCGATTCAGGCTGTGAACGAAATTTAATTGATTCGAACCTCGTTCAACAGCTTCAGATTGAAACAATTCCTTTGACTCAATCTCTCAGTGTTTCTGCCATTGACGGGAAAAGGCTCCACCAAGTTACCCATCAAACTCAACCCCTCGAGCTACTTCTTTCAGGTAACCACCGAGAGACAATAACATTTTTTGTTTTTCCTTCCGCATGCTCTCCCTTGGTGCTTGGCTTCGAATGGTTGGAGAAGCATAACCCACACATAAATTGGACTGATCGTCACCTGGAATCATGGTCTACTACATGCCATGAGACATGCCTCCATTCGGCTGCCCCCTCGGTGGGGTCTCCTAGTGGTGGGGGGGAGATGGACTCTCCTGACCTTTCTTCCGTTCCTCCCGAGTACCATGACCTGGCTCCTGTCTTCAGTAAGGTCAGTGCTACGTCCCTACCTCCTCATAGACCATATGACTGCGCCATTGAGCTACTACCTGGAGCTCCACTACCTAGCAGCAGGTTGTACAACATCTCCAAACCCGAACGAGAGACCATGGAGAAGTACATAAATGAATCCTTAGCTGCTGGAATAATCCGCCCATCTTCCTCTCCATTGGGCGCCGGGTTCTTCTTTGTGGGTAAGAAAGACGGTTCCCTGAGACCTTGATTGATTACCGAGGTTTGAACCAAATCACAATAAAGAATAAGTACCCACTTCCTCTTCTCGCCTCAGCATTCGAACCTGTCCAAGGGGCTACAGTTTTCACAAAACTGGACTTAAGGAATGCTTATCATCTTCTTAGGATTCGAGATGGTGATGAATGGAAAACTGCCTTTAAAACTCCCTTGGGTCAATTTGAATATTTAGTTATGCCTTTTGGTTTAACTAACGCCCCAGCCTGTTTCCAAGCCCTCGTGAACGATGTCCTCAGAGACTTTTTAAATGTGTTTGTGTTCGTTTATATTGACGACATACTCATTTACTCAAGGAACCTTTCTGAACATAAAAGACATGTCCGCCTTGTGTTACAGAGACTACTGGAGAACAAGCTGTTCGTTAAAGCAGAGAAGTGCGAATTTCATCAGTCTTCAGTCACCTTTTTGGGGTTTGTGCTCGAGGGCGGCCAGGTAAAACCATCTGAGGACAAGATAAAGGCGGTGTTAGAATGGCCAGTTCCTGAAAACCGAAAACAGCTACAGAGATTCCTGGGTTTTGCAAACTTTTATCGTCGGTTCATCAGGAACTACAGCCAGACTGCCCTTCCCTTAACTTCTCTGACTTCTGTCAAACGCACTTTTCAGTGGACTCCCGAGGCACAATCTGCATTTGAAAAATTGAAATCTTTATTTTCCAGAGCTCCAGTGTTAATACAGCCTGACCCTGCTAAACAGTTTATCCTCGAGGTGGACGCTTCAGATTCTGGAGTTGGAGCGGTCCTTTCCCAGAGACTTGACACGGATCAAAAGATCCATCCATGCGCTTTTTTCTCCCGCAGACTTTCTTCCGCAGAGTAGAACTACGAATAGGGAGACCGTGAGCTGTTGGCCATCAAATTGGCGCTGGAGGAATGAAGACATTGGCTGGAGGGAGCTGAGAACCCGGTTCTTGTATGGACAGATCATAAGAACCTGGCTTACATCCAGTCAACCAAGCAAGCCAATCCCCGTCAATCCAGGTGGTCCATCTTTTTCTCACGGTTTAACCTCATTATATTCTACAGACCCGGATCCAAGAATGTCAAACCAGATTCTCTCTCTCGTCTTTACTCCGTCGATCATCCTGAGACACCTGAACCAGTCCTTCCGGCTTCCTGCACTGTAGGAGTGGTTAACTGGGAGATCACTGATTTAATCAACTCCGCCCTGGCTACAGAGCCCGATCCAGGTAACGGTCCAGCTAACCGAACCTATGTGCCATCTTCTGTCAGGTCCCGTCTCATCCAATGGATGCATGCTTCCAAGTTTTCTGCCCATCCGGGAGTCAGTAGAACCGTCGCCCTGATCTCAAGACGCTTCTGGTGGCCAACCCTCCATAGAGATGTCAAAGAGTATGTGTTGGCTTGCTCTACATGTGCCCGAAATAAAGCCTCACATCAACCTCCTTCAGGCCTGCTACAGCCACTTCCGGTTCCCTCGCGCCCATGGTCTCATATAGCGATTGACTTCGTCACCGGCCTCCCCGTTTCTCGAGGTATGTCAACTATCCTCACTATTGTTGACCGTTTTTCGAAGGCCTGCCATCTCATTCCCCTTAGGAAACTTCCCTCGGCCTTCCAAACAGCCCAGCTCCTTGTTAAACACGTCTTCCGCTTACATGGCATCCCCCAGTTCATATCTCAGGTTTGGAAGGCATTTTGCTCTGCACTTGGCTGTAAACCCTCTCTGACATCTGGTTACCATCCTCAATCCAATGGACAAACAGAGAGGATGAACCAGCAGCTAGAATCAACCCTTCGTTGCCTCACATCCAACAACCCAGTCGACTGGAGCCAGTATCTTACGTGGATCGCTAGTGCTAGGACCAATTCTCTTTACTTTATACATGCTCCCAATTGGTAGAATTATTAGACAGCATGGGATTAATTTCCACTGTTATGCTGATGATACCCAGCTATATCTGTCTATAAATCCAGATGAAGCTAACCCATTACATAGATTACAGGCATGTCTTGAAGACATAAAAACCTGGATGACTCTTAACTTTCTGCTCCTGAATGCAGACAAAACAGAAGTTATAGTCTTTGGACCAGAGTCTCTGAAAAAGAAACTGATTAGCCAGTCACTTCATTTGGATGGGATTAAACTGATTTCAGATAATAAAGTAAAAAATCTTGGTGTTATTTTTGATCAGGACCTGTCATTTAAATCCCACATCAAAGAGGTTTCTAGAATTTCCTTCTTTCATCTGAGGAACATTACAAAAATTAGAAATATCCTGTCCAGAGGTGATGCTGAGAAACTAGTCCATGCATTTGTTACTTCAAGGCTGGACTATTGTAATTCTTTACTATCAGGAAGTCCACAAACTGTAGTTAAAAGCCTTCAGCTGATCCAAAATGCTGCAGCCAGAGTTCTAATGAAAATTAAAAAGAGAGATCATATCTCGCCTATCCTGGCTTCTCTTCATTGGCTTCCTGTTAAATCAAGAATAGAATTTAAAATCCTCCTTCTCACATATAAAGCCTTAAATGGCCAAGCTCCATCTTATATCAGAGATCTGATTGTTCCTTATGTTCCTAACAGAGCACTTCGCTCTCAATCTGCAGGTTTACTAATGGTTCCTAGAATTTCTAAAAGTAGAATGGGAGGCAGATCTTTTAGTTATCAGGCTCCTCTCCTGTGGAACCAACTACCAGTTTTAGTCCGTGAGGCAGACACCCTGTCTACTTTTAAGGCTAGGCTTAAAACTTTCCTTTTTGATAAAGCTTATAGTTAGGGTGGCTCAGGTTATCCTGAGCTATCTCTATAGTTATGCTGCTATAGGCTTAGACTTTTGGAGGACATAGGGACCCCCATTTCATCATTCTGCTTCATTCTCTCTCTGTTCTCCTATTCTGCAGAATCTGTTAGTTCAATCTCTAACCTTCTGCTCTCTCTGCTTTTCCTCAGAGTAGCTTTGCCTCGTCTGTTCCTGTTTGGCTGTGACGTCATCCTGGAAAGAAACATCAGCTGTGCTGCTTCTATCAACACCCTTGTTTATAGATGTTGGAGATCGGCCTGTTTTCCAGTGTGGTCCTGTTTCTCTGACCGTGACTGAGTGGATGTGCTCTCTTCGTCCTCTGGCATGGGAGCTGCCTTGGAGCTCGTCTGCCTGGCTGCGTGTTTCCTGGACGGGGCCGCCTTTTACAGCTGCTTTTTGTATCTCTGCTTCTGTCTCCTTGAACCCCAGTCGGCCTCGGCAGATGGCCGCTCACACTGAGCCTGGTTCTGCTGGAGGTTTCTTCCTGTTAAAAGGGAGTTTTTCCTCTCCACTGTCGCTACAAGCATGCTTAGTGTGGGGGATTGTATTTGAGTCAATGAGTCGATGCAATCAACTGGTTTTCCTTAGATAGAAAACTTTGTATCAATTTGACTGTATGATCTGGTTGAACTGTAAAGTGCCTTGAGATGACATGTGTTGTGAATTTGGCGCTATATAAATAAACTGAATTGAATTGAATTGAATTGATTGAATACGCACACAACTCCCTCAAATCAGCTTCTACAGGACAATCTCCATTTCAGGTCAGTCTGGGTTATAACCTCCACTTTTTCCTGCAGACGAAAGTGAGATCTCGGTCCAGTCAGTTAATCATCACATCAGACGCTGTCAGAGGATCTGGAGAGAGACCATCACAATCCTCAACCGATCTTCTGAGTCCAACAAACGCTTCGCAGACTCCAGGAGACGTCCCGCCCCCGAGTACTCTGAAGGCCAGGAGGTATGGCTGTCCACTCGAGACATTCCCCTCAAGGGGATGTCTCGAAAACTTTTGCCTAGGTTTATAGGTCCCTACAAGATCTCTCGAGTCATCAGTCCTTCTGCCGTCCGTCTCCAACTGCCTCAGTCTCTCCAGATTCACCCAACCTTCCATGTTTCTCAAGTTAAGCCTGTCATCTCGAGTTCTCTGTACCCACCTTCCGACTCCCCACCACCCGCCCTGGAGGTCAATGGTCATCCCGCCTTCACCGTTCGACGCATCGTGGACTCCCGTCGACGAGGTCGCGGCTGGCAGTACCTCGTCGACTGGGAGGGCTACGGACCGGAGGATCGCCAGTGGGTTCCGGGCTCGTACATCCTCGATCCTGCCCTTATCGAGGAGTACGAGAGTTCCTGCCCTTCGACCTCTTCCGGACCGCCAAGGGGCGGTCGTTGAGGGGGGGGTACTGTTGGGAGCTGGAGAAGTTCCACCCTTTCTCCAGCAGAGTCCGCCGTGGATCCTTCTGAGTGAGCCTCCTGCACAGCTGCAGCCCATCAGATCATCAGAGGATCCACTATATAAGCTGTCTTCAGACCTTGCCTCAACGCCGCAGTGTCAATCCAGTTGGTCAGCGCCTAAGCCTTGACTCTCAGTGAAATCTCTGTGACTTTGAATCCAGCCTGGATTCTAACCCTTGTCTCTGTCTTCCAGGAAACCAGTTTCTCCTCTGTGGAGCTCAGGAAGAGCTAACCTGCCGAGCCGACCCTCAGAGCCAAACCTGAAGAACCTCAGTGAACTCCCATGCAGCTCAGAGCTAAGAGCTGGAAAACCCAAGGCCAAGGTCTGCTCAGAACTAGAAGTAAGACGCTGAAGCAGCTAGCGGACTCTGCTGATTAACTCCTCTCCAGATCCTACAGTGACCCTCTCAAAGTTTCCTACAAGAACCCTCAAGGTACAATCAGTAACAATCAAGAAAGCAAGCTTCAGAGTGCTACGCTAACTGAACTGTCTCTCACGCAGACTCCGGTGAACCAGTCTCCAGGCCCGAGCCAGAACCAGTCAATCAGTGTGCTTGTTACAAAATAAACTTGTTAAACTTTTATTCCTGTGTCCGTCTAGTGGTGTTCTGCATATTTGGGTCACCCTTAGTTATTAATATTTCTGTTTTTAAGAGGTTGACCAGGATCTTCTGTTTCATTTCTGTTCTGAACCCGGATCTTTAATTTTTTAAGGGAATTTTCTCAGAATAATACAAAAAGGGAAAACCATCTGAAAGTATTAAGTGAATCTATTCCATTTGTTTAAAACAAAATAATTGATATTAAGCAAAAATTACAGATAATCAATTACCTAAGGCCTGCATGACTGCTACTGAGAAAACAGTGGCCCTGAGTTTAAGTTTTCTCCTCTATTTCTCCTATAGTTACACCTTTAAGGATGTGGCAAACTCTGTCTGCAGCAGTAGCACACACCAACCCCCATGTCTCCCAGGATGTGCACAGAAATACAATGATCAGTAACCTCAAATAGAAATTAAACCTTTAAAAGAAATGAACCTTGTACACATCAAACGAACGCACTAAAGATATAGGACATGTTTTCAACACCTTGCTTTTGTATTCCTTGGCTGCTGGGTCGAGGTTTGCGATCATGGTGGTAGCGTTGGCTACAAGGATGGTATACATCATACAACCGGACACCATGCTGACCATCACAATCCACATCTCTATGTAATCTGCAGAGTAAAACAACAAGGGAAAAATCTTCTGTATTCTTCTGCATTCAAAGGGAAAAAACATGTAAAAAAGAGGAGAAGGTTAATCCTCACTTGTTGGAGCATCCATGGATCCATAAGAGAGAGCAATCATCTGGGAAAGAGCTCGGAAAACTCCCCAAGAGTATTTAACGATGACCGTGGCATTCTGGAAGAAATCCGATCACATTGTTTACTCCACAGTGGCGCAAGACAAACTTTTTAATTATTAATCAGTAATGACTTTTCAAGGTTTTTTATATCAATTATTTATCTTTTAGCTTCTTTAAGCATTTTTTGAGCCTCAAAAAAAGAAATCTGTAACCAAAAAGTAATTGAGGTGAAGTGTAACTTAAGCCACTAAGGATATAGAATCCAAAAGTTTATCTCTTTAGTTGAACGTATCAGTCCTCCTCTACAGTCTGGCCCCCTCCTCTTCATCAACTACCTCCTTCCCCTTGACAGTATTTTTCACAAATTCAACATTAATTTTCACTATTACGAGGATGACACCCAGCTTTACTTATACAGTATACCCACTTCCTCACTCCCCCATTGTCCCTTACTAATTGCTTACTTGAGATTAAAGAACGGTTCACCTCAAACTTCCTTAAACTAAACAGTGATAAAACCGAAATCCTCCTTGTCACCACCAAATCCACCCTATTCAAAATCAGTAAGTTTTCACTACCCATTAACAACTCCTTGGTCTCCACCTCCCCTCAGATCAAGAGTCTGGGTGTCATCCTCGACTCCTCCCTCTCCTTTCAGTCACACATAAATGACATCACCCTGTCTGCATACCTCCACCTTCCCAACATTAACCACCTCCGTTCCTCCCTTAAAACGCGCACTGCCTCTGTCCTTATCTACAGCCTCATCACCTCCCGTCTTGATTATTGTAATCAGGCTCGGACTGGTAATCTGTGATATCGGGCATTTGCCTGGTGGGCCAGTCCTAATTTCATTGTGATACCGGCCCCAACACTTAATCTGTGGCCGAAGCTCCTACTACCTGTAACAGTAAATTACTCAAGGAGCTCAAGAAGTAATAAAAGGTTAACTACCTAGATGATGCATGCAGTATCTATAACCCTTCCTTGTCATGCACATCCTTGTGACGGTTGACATATGGTCCTTGCAGCAAACTAAATTATAATAAAACCAAAATGCTTTCTTTAAACCAAACTATGATGTTCCTCTTATATTTGCCAAATCTATGTTCGAATATTTCGCAAAAATATGTTGCGGTGCATGATAGGGTTTTGCATCTAAAGGCTAACGTTTCCAATCTTACGTGCTTTGTTGCCAGGTTCGGATGTTTCCCAATCTGGCAGTTTAGGATGGCCGTCTATGGGTAAAAAATGTTTTTCTTTAGATTTATGGCCTAGGAGATCAATAGACTTCGGTTCAGATTGGGTGAGATTTCGTATATCCAGGCGTTTATGAAAATTTTTTGGGCTGGAAAACATGAGTCAGTGACACCTGGCAACCCTGCTGGACGTTACGTAGCAGCAGTCACTGTCGCGTCCGTGTTAATAACCAAAGCCAAAAACCGCATTATAGAAGTCTGATGGTTGTCGTGTGATGCTTGAAGATAGATCTGTTAATCCACAATAAGTATTTGCATTGTGTTTCACATCTGAGACATACAAGTTTGACTGTGCTTCTATTTTTTTTTTAATATAGTTGGTTCCCAGTTCAATTTAGAATACAATTTAAAATCCTTCTTTATACTTTCAAAGCCATCCATAACCTTGCTCCCCCATATCTGTGAGACCTCCTTCACATCACCACCTCCTCCTGCTCCCTTAGATCCTCCATCCACCTCACTGTACCCCCAGCTCGACTTGTCACCATGGGGAGCAGAGCCTTCAGCCGCTCTGCCCCCCAGCTCTGAAACTCTCTCCCTCTTGACCTCTGCAGTATTGACTCTCTCTCCTTATTCAAAACCAGACTCAAAACCCATCTGTTCCAGCTCATTTGTTTGTTAATACATTGCTCTTGTCCCTCCCCATAATTGTTTTTATGTTTCTGTATTTCTAGAAAGGCGCTGTTAAATAAAATGTATTATTATCATTATACTCTCCACTGCTATGCAACCTTTACCATCAGGTTTTCCTTGCGAACCCAGCAGTCGGTGGGAAACTCCTCCAACATGGGGACGAAGTACTGGATGCAGCCGTTCCAATGACACAGCAAAAAAATCATCATGAAGAGGGACAGGATGCGGAAGAAAAGGCGAACCACCTCCAGGTTTGCATTTGACACCTGAAAGAGTGACATGACACAGAGCAAAGGCATAAATGAAACAGACAGATTCTGGAATTATAACATCATGTATGTTAAGGTTAGCCTTTTTCGTTAAAGCGTCAGGCTAAAAGGATCTTATTGGCTATGTAAATTTTGTTTTTTTGTGCATTTTTAGCCAAGAATCAACATGGCAACAACAAGCATACAGTGAGTGAATTTTGTTCCATTATTGCTCTAAGGCAGAGGTCATATATTAGCAGACCACGGTCCTTCAAAAACAATTTAGATTTTAAAATGGAAAAATGTTCTATTTTTTTATTTAAAAATTAAACCTGCTTTTTATTTCAGTGTTAAAGTAACAGATTATAATTAAAAATGTCTCCGGACCTTTACTGATTGATGATTTTCTTTATTCGGACCCCGCTGATTTTTAATTGGTTTCCCCTGCTCTAAGGAAAGGAAATATTTGTATCCAGAAAAGAAACTTTGAAAATGTTTTGAGAGTGGATGTTTTATCCGATTGTATTTGATTTCTTTTTTTAATTTCGCAATTTTTTAAAACAGATTTCATATTTCTCTTTATTGCATTTATATACTTTTCAAATTCCCTTTCATAGATTACATTCTCTATACTTCAAGGTCAAAGGTAAGTTTAAATGAAAGTTTTAAGACTTAATCTGAAAAAGAGAAATTTGAAAAAAAAAAAACATAAAACATCTGAAATAAATGTACAAATAAAATGTGAAACATAAATTCAAACCTATTTAACATTAAAAAGAATTTCAAAGAAAGAAAGAAAAAGGCTTAAACTTGAACTCCATTTTACAGAATTTTACATTATTTTGGGTTTTTCTGACTTTTGGCTCCATTTCTGTGACCACCAGTTAGATCAAATAACAGTAACATAAAAAAAAAACAGACAGCCTTAGAAACAGGAGCAGTCAAATGATCACCTACGCTGCAAACAGACCAATACTTTAGTCGGATTATCCAAAAAACTTGATTTACACATAAATAAATGATGATCCCTCATCATGTTGAAAAACTTGTAACACAAACACACATAAAAAAAAGTGGCCCCTAGACATCACCCTGATAACTGAGGCAGATATCTGCACTAAAAGGTTTCCATGTCCATAATCTACCTTTACAGTAGTTTACTCTAAAATATAAAACCTGTTCAATATTTAGTTTATTGACTATGGAGGACCCAGAGAGTCACTGAAAAAGAAAAACAGCCATTTCAAATTTAAGATTAAATCATGCAATTTGAAATCCTATTTGAAAAGCACTTGCTAATTGTATATTTAGAAAAGAATTATTACAGATGAACTGTACATTTTTTAAATAATCCACTGTTAGAAACTGCAAATTGAAAGTGTACTTTCAAATTGTTTCTTTAAATGGAGAGGTAAAGACTTAAGATCATACCTTTGCTAATCACACATAAAAAAGGTTTAACTTATTCCATTACCATTTGTATTTTCAAATCCTTTTTGAAATAGCTTTTTCTTTGTGCTTTACCCTCTCATTTAGACTTTTTCAAACCAATTTCCTTTTCCACACAAGCTCCTCCAATGACATTATTTACTTTCTATGAGCTTGGCCTCCAAATGTCATGGTGGGTTTGTCAGATATCAAAGTACGCTTGTCTATAAAAAATACACACATTCTGAAATAAATATTTTAGAGTATCTTTAACTGCAGCACAAACAAAACAAACAACAAGCTTGTTTGGGATTTAGGGAAGTTACTAATGATGGCATGTGGTAATGTGGTATTTTTAAAGGTATTATGCAAAAAAAAAGTATGTAACTATATGTATTTAAATATAACCCTAAAAGTATATTTTTGTCAAAAGTAATTTAGGTAACTGTAACTGAGTAAAGCTAGCTAGTTACTACCAATCTCTGTGTGGAATTGTCATATTCTCCTTGTACATCTGTGTGTTAACTCTGGGTACTCCGGCTTGTATCCGTCTGTTATTTCTCTAAATTTATGTGTGATCCGCAAAAAGCCGCCTCACAAATAAGATGCTCAGCAAAATGAAAAGACTAAAGCAAAAGGCAGGAGAAATGCTCCAGGATGCGGGGAATGTAGGTGTCCTGAGAAAACACTGCAATAATGACAGGAGAAACTGACAAACAAAAGAAATGAGCTCAGTGTGTAGATAACTTTGCTCCAAAAACAAAGAGCAGAAGTCTAGTCAGACTTGAATGTGTCCTCTTTCAGGCAAAACAGCAGCTTCTGCTCATATTCCCAACAAAGCACACCACCCAGGGTGCCATGTCACAAGGGGCGGCATGTGCATTGTCATAGAAAGCAAATCCATCGGAAATGTTGTTCCTGAAGGAGGTTACAATCACTCATGCTGTGTAAACACAATGTAGACCGTAAAAAAAAACAGCAACACATGATTGGAAACCCTCGCTAATGATGCAAAAATTCTCAGATCTTGAAATTGGAAATGACTTAAAAAGCTTTTTAACAATTATTTAAAAATATTGGGCCTTTGATTTTTTTTTAGTTTAAAATAGGTAGTACGGTAATAGGTAGACCAGCAAACCCTGGACTGAATCTCTCTATAATCAACACAGTTCTTCAATATATATACATATATATGTGTGTGTGTGTATATATATATTGTATTATTTTCCTGACATTTAAATTTAAACATTAAAACATTTCTTAAACTATAATTACAAGCAGTTCTTGTCTCATGAAAACATAAGCGTTAATAACCGATGGTTGCGTAGAGGCTAACCCACTACTGGTGATGAAATTCAGATAATCTGAATGGGAAAAAGAAGAAACATCTTGGAACTCACTTTCTCAACTTCGTTGAAGAACCTGACCAATCTGGACACTCGAGCCAGCCGGATCAAGCTCAGGATTCGCACAAACATCAGTATCCTCATCATCTTGTTGGCCTTGGATGGGTTGTCGTCATTGTGGTAATGTAAGTCCTAAAAAAGCATCTGTAATGAGTGACTACTGCTCTTATATACATCCCTGCTCAGATAAGAAAAAAAGTGCCTCTTTTTACCGCAAACAGCAGAATGTATCCGATCGGGAAGGCCGCTATGACATCAGGTATGAACCATGTCCTCAGGTAACTAACCCGGATTCTTTTGATATCCAGAATAGCTTCCTGAAAGACAGAACAGATTGAGTATCCAGACTACATGCTGACAGACACACCATCTGCTCTAATATTTAGTAAGGACTTTAAAAATATGTGTAATGCTGGATTTAACTCATATACATTACATTACAGGACACAAATATCTGAATTTCACAGAAATGGGCTTAAAGTATAATCTGGCAAAGCCAGATGTTTGTATTGAAAACATCACAGCTGGATAATCTTTAATTAGCAGGAACTCTTTAATTCAATAGAAAAGCAAACAGGATATCGATTGAATGATACCTAATTGGAAACATCATATTTTCATTTACAGCGACATCATAATTCTCGTTATAAAACCACACAGCAGGTGCAAATGTTGCCCGTATCGTGGATGGAGCTCAGCGGGAGGTTAATCTACCCTTTCGTGTATTGTGTGGATTACGGATAGGACGGGAATGGATTGCATGAGCTCGTCGGTGAGGGGATTATCTTCTGCCAGATTGTGTCTGAAAAAGCAGCCTGGCCACTCTCACCTCAGCGTCCTCCGTTATGATGCCCATCCGAAAGTTCAGAACCACGTCCAGCAGGAACAACGTGTCTGAGAACACGTTGAAACTCTCCCAGGCCAGGCCACTGTCACCATCCAGGAACGCTATCTCCATGGGAATCCCAATCAGGTTCAGAAAGGTGATGGCCATCATCACCATGATGTAGTAACTCCTATAGGGGGAACAGATAATAATAAATATAACAAAAACATTTTTGATATTTGAGTTTCAGATCTTGTTCATAAATAGTTTTTAGCCTTAAAACTATGGGTAAACTCAGTTTGGACATTCCTACTGCAGTTGGTAAGACAAGCCGCATTATGCACACTAAACACCCTGATACTGTAACTGCACATCCCTTCAGCTAGGCTTAAATTGCCTGGCTCCAATTACTCTGCTCTCTGATCTCTAAAGTTTTGTTGGTCTTTCTGTGTTTTTGCTCTTTTTCCAGACAAATAAAAACCTTCATATCTAAGAAAATAACAAGATACTTTTTCTGTTTTTTTCATTTTCCCACACCAACCTACAAAAAATGATACCCTTATATTACTCTTATATCATAAATGCAATGCAGAAATGTAGAGATCCATTGGCCATTACACTTGAAAATTAGCTGCATTTCACTTACAGTCAACATTGGCGATTGTTTTTTTTCTCTTATACCAATTTTTTTAGCACCTGCTTTACATATCATTAAAGATATGCTCTAGTTGATTTGAGTATCGTTTTCCTGTGGAAATTTCCTAACTTGTATTAAAATATAAGAAGCGTACATGTATAAACCAATTGAATACCATGTTCTGTTGTCTTTCCATTTTAAAACGAGCTGTGAGAAATTAAGGATCATAGTCGGATACAATTGAGGCAGGGGCATGGTTTACTAATTGATTGTTTGTCCAGGCATACATTTACTTTAAATTTATTTAACATGATCTAAAGTGCTGTAGCAAAATTAAGTTAATATTTTTAGGTTACCATGGTTTCTGTGCAGAAGGATAGAAATACTATCTGGTTTTGAGAAACTGAAGCAGCTGAACCCATAGTGTTTGGATTTGGTCATGTTTGCTCCAACATAATAAAAAAAAAGAACAGGGATTGTAACATTTGAAACTAATGTTGCAGCAATGATAAAAAAATATATATATCTATTAGTGACCAAATTAACTTTAATTAAAGGTTTTGTTTTACTTCTTGCAGAAAGGTTTATCAGCAAAGATTTGGAGATGAGAAAAACACCTTCATGACATTGAATATAAATGTTCCAAAAATAAAAGTACCATTGTGTGTTTTTATTTCTCTGCTTGTTTGTTGTAAAGTAACCACAAGGCAGGATTAAACCAGAGGCAATTCAGGAGGCCCTGTCAGTTCTGTTGCATCTGTACTTGAAGCGCCAATGTTTAGCATGGAGGTTCTTCCTTCTAAATGTATTTAAAGCCAGATGCTAATCAAATATCCATCCGTCATTCTCTTGGGTTGTTGGAGTCTTTTGTGTATGGTTTTTGTGTTTGGCAGTTGTAAAGTATTTTATATTTTCTACATATATAAATGTAGGTCGTGTGGTAATGGTTATTGTTACAGCAGCAAATTATCTAGAAATTTACATACAGTAGAAGTACTTGGGAAAATCTTTTAATTGTTATTTGATATAACGATCATATGCTTCAACCATTTATTAAATGATAAATATGCTTTAACAAAATTAAGTTCTGTTAGTTTTTTCTTGAAAGTAACCATGGATTTCTGTGGAGAAAAAATTTAAATCCTTTTTTTTTTTGAGAAGCTGAAGCAACTGAACCCATTATGTTTGGATTTTGACATTTTTGCATGAGATTAACTAAGTTTCTTTTTTTTTTTTTTTAAATAACGTCATCACTTGCAAAATGCATCAAGCCATGTTCTTGTTTTTGATATCAGAAAACCTTCCTACACAGATGTGTTTCTCTCTTTTAAGTGAGGAAAGTGTTCTCTTTCAGGCTCTCTTTCAGCCAGCTGTGCTCAGCAACAGGTAGGGGAGGGGCATCTCTGAATCACATTCAGTTGTGGTTCCAGCCATTTCTCCAGTATGGTATTAAAAGAACTTTAAATTTTAAATTCAGCTTGCGAACTGCGTCATATCCTCATGCCTATTTCAAGTTTTTTCCTAATTTGCACATTAATATTTTTTACCTCATTGACTAAAATGCAAAAATACTATTGCATCAAAATGTGTCAGTTTAACATTCTCCTCTTCTTCCTATTGTTGTAATTGAAGTCCTGGAAAAAAGCTTCAAATGCATACATGAAAAAACTGAAGAAAGAAGGTGATGCAAAGTGGAGGACTGATGTATGAAATACCTCATGGGGCTGAAGGGGTGAATGACAAAGACTCCGCTCTCCAGCTGACGCTTGCACTCCTTCTCCACGGCCACCTCGCTGCCGTACACGTACAGGGACTGTCTGTTCAGCTGCGGGAGAAGCAGGGCTCTCCATCCACAGGTGGCTTTTGTAAATCCAGTGGTGGGACCCTTGGATTTCTCCATGGACAAACCTCAGTTCCCTCCGATCAGCTGAAAGCACAGGCCATCCCACCACCACAGCTGCTCCTTCCTCTTCTTCTCAGGGTAAGTAAGTCTGACTCCAGCAGCAGTTCCAACCTCCCTCCTCAGTCACAAGGTATTTTTACATCCAGCCTCCCAACCTAAGTACATACTGAGGCTGCATGGAGTGAGGCGAGTGGATCCCCGCCTCTCTGCTCAGTCCCTCCTCTCTCTCTATTCCTGCCTCTCTTCATTTTTAACCTCACTCCACCCCTGTATTTCTATTCCTCCCAGCTCATCAACTATTCAGTATCCGTGTCTCATCCTCAAATGAATCAAGCCATGTCATGGGGACATGTCCAGCTCACATTAATACTAAGGACAATGTTGGATGAGAACGCTGCATATACTGTCATGGGAACTAGACATCTGGCAGCTTGTGCAGGGACGATTTCGGCCTGGGCCACAGAGCATGTAATTAAACACTATGCCGGGATACCTGATGCTGTACATACAGCACACATGGATCTTTTGGCCAACTTCTTGGGGATTGTTTGCATACAGATCATCAGTTAGAAAAGCAGAAACAACGGATATATATAATAAACTGAAATTCCTGCATAAAAATGCATCTTTTTCTATACTTCTAGATAAAGTGAGAAAAGTTATATGAGCCAGGCAACTTAGATAAAAGAGAAAAAATATATTACATAACTTGACAGCAGAATTAATCCAGAGATCTTACACTGGGCATGATGAACACCCAGCATCTTGGCTAGTGCATCAGTTTTCACCATTCCTGCTACTTCTTTTCTTGCATAATTGAGGGGAGTATTTGCCTAGTGGTTAGAGCAGTGAGCTTGTGCTCTGAGAAGGTTGCAAGTACTCGGTTCGATCCCCACAGCTGCACTCGGGGTTCATGAGCACAGACCCTTAACCGCCACTGCTCCCCAAGGTGATGGGTTAAATGGAGAGGTACATTTCTCCACTGTGAAATAAAAAAAAAAAAATTATTATTATAATAAAAACACACCCAAAAAAGTTGGAAAGAAAGCATATATTATTCCTTAGTGTGGCCCTTTCTTGGTTAAATCCAACAAACACGTTAAATACACGTTATCACGCGTATTAGGATGCTTTTTAAAGGGTTTATCTTTACTGATATTTTTGCAAATCTTCTACAACACCGCAGAAAAGTTTTTAATGTTTAACTTTCCCCTCTCCCTTGATCCCTTGTTTAAGGATCAGGAATTAACAAAACCAACTTTCTGCAGCATATTAGGATAATAAAACCTCACATAGCTAAATGGAAACCTGAAAGTGAAAGTTGATTCCTTTTCAGATTTCTCCACTTTACACAAAACTGCACATAGAACCACCTATACTTCTGCAATACTTAAAGTTCCCGATGACACCCTTGAAGTGGCAGATGTCAATCATAACAATTAGTGTTGCCCTGATACCGATACCAGTATTGGGCAGGGCCCCAATCCGGCACTGAAATGGTGGTATCATATAGAGTACCGATACCATTTTGAGAGCGAAAAGTTTATTCAACTATGGTCACCCATTCCAGGAAGCCAATAAAAAGTTCTACTGGATTCACTTTGTATTAGTCTCTTTCCTGCTTCACAAAGGAAGGCAGGAGCTTGACAAAGCCAGGATGGCAATTATTTTACATCCAAGTAGTATGCAGTTCTTCATATACACACACACATAAATTTCAAACAGATGTATCGGTAAGGTATCGGCTGATACTGCACAGCCAGGTATCGGGGCCAAACAAATTGCATCAGTGCAACACTAATAACAATGAAATCTACTGAAGGCAGGAGACTGAATAAGATTTGGACAGATGTATGAAGTCAAAATTATGCCTAAAAGGCACAAACACAATAAATACTTATTCTAGCAGTTGGATTTAATACAAATGCATTCTACATTTTTCAGATTCAGTACCACTAGATCCCTAACATCACATGCATGAGTGCATGCTCCTTTTACAGCATGCTCATGGCTTGCTTTAAAAATGCCCGTAGCCTCCCTCCTATATGTCTGTGGATCCGTTTTTATGAGACCGGGTCAGGTTTTGTTACCATGAGGGTGATAACCACTGGAGAAAACCCTTCCTTAAGCCCTTGTCACACCTTGACAATTTAGCCAGCGCATGCCTGATGTATGAAAAATCTGGCAAAAATGCTGGGATACTTTGGATAAGTTATTAGTAAGCTTTGTATAAGTTATGAGCATGGTGAAATACGCTGAAGCACGCTGGCATATGTCGACATATGGCGAGAACGTGATATGCGAAACGTGGGACATAAGTCACAGGTAAGTTATCTGATCGTTGACAGTGTAAGTTACTCATAAGTCGTTGTGTCTAACTCATCCAGAAAACCTCTGAGTAACTTGTGCATAACTAATGCGTAACTTATCAACAACTTATCTCAAACGCATATCAGTGTATTTGACGTGTTACAGACGACCGAGGAACGTGTTCCTAACTTACAGCTACTGTATAATGCCATATTGGCAGTGTTTTGATATAGAAGGGGAAACCATTAGTACTCCTCCAGACTTCATCCCCATCATAGGATGAACGAGAAGGTGAGTGTGATGGATCCTCTCAGCATTCCCGCCCTCGGCCAAGACACGAACCACGACGAACTTCCTAGGAGACATGGCGCTGAATTTGCTGTGACTGCAAACCTCTTTCTTTCTTTTTTTTCTCCTTTTCTTTTGTTCTTTATTCTTATTTTTGGCAGGTGGTAAACAGCTGCTAGGTTAATACCGCAATCAAATAAATCTTTTTATGCAGACTGGATGCCTTCAGGCGCATTGCTGCCCCCCTCAGGACACAGGATTGTGACATTTCATGGTCATTACGCTGTTGTGCGTTATGCATAAGTTAGGTTGTTGTTGGACATACTCTCTGGACTTGTTATGAATACTCTATGTATACACCCAACATTAAAAAAATATATAGAAAGTTCAGCGTATGGCAGTGTTTTAAGAGATTCTGAGACGTCAGGCATATGCTGGCTAAATATGGCCTCATTTGCAACAGCTATCCCTCTCATCAGCTGACACTATTATAAACACAATACTAGACACAAAAGGAAAAATGCTTAACAGCAGCTGCAGACTGATTGCAAATGTAATGTTTAGCTATAAACAAGTCTCACTTTCCTCAAATAAACAGTGAGCTAACGTTAGCTTAGCTCATATAAAGATACAAAATTAAGATTAATCATATAGTCCTGCTGTGAAAAAATACAACTATGTTAAAATAAGTTATTTAATGATTTTTAACTCTAAGACAAGAGCAATTAGTGTCATAAAACAAGACAGATGGACTAGGGTGGCCAGATGTCCGGCTTTAGGGCGGACAGTCCGGATTTTCATTGCACTGTCCGGCGTCCGGCGCTGCACCCAGCCGGACGTGTATTTGTCCTCCTTTACCCCCAGATTCCACATACTCCGTCAGCGCTCCGCCCCGCTCACGTACGGAGTACTTGTCTGTCATGTAAATCAATGAGAGCTGTTCCACATCCTCCGCTCGTCACCGCCCACGTACGTCTTCTCCGTCCTTCACCGTCAAAATACGGAGCTGAGCTATTTTTTGCTCCCCTCCGGTCCGTCCAGATCAAGACCCGCTATTGCAATCGCACCAAACAGAAAAAAGAATGTAGAGAAGACCCGGTTTGTCAAATTAAATTATAGTAAAAACAGATCGGTATCTAGAAATTAGAGCATAGTTTGTATATATTCCCAAAAACTAAGAGCAATTAATTAAATAATTGGATGCAGACTATTGGTGCTTCAACAGACCAGGAAGAAGTTGTGAGATTCTAGAGTGAATCTCACAACTTTAAAAGAAAATTCTTATTGCAGGAATGGATGAAGAGATGATGAGTTTGGAAGCAGAGAATAAACAGAGTTCATACAAACTATGTATGATCCTAGTTATCCCTGTTACAAAAATCGGCAACAGAAAGAAAATATTTGGGCAGAAACTGAACATCTGCTGGATGATGATGGGGATTTTTTTAATATGTCAGATTCAATTAAGCGTTCACAGGTTTTATACAGGAATGAGGAGCTCTAATTTAATGCTCTTTTAATGCTATTAGAAATAATTTTAATGCCATCAACAAGTATCATGTACACAAGTTATTAGTTTACATGAAATAAGGAGCTGTAAGCACAGTTCCATGACTCAAGTTTATATATATATATATATATATATATATATATATATATATATATATATATATATATATATAGATAGATAGATAGATAGATAGATAGATATGGATAGATAGATATATAGATAGATATGGATAGATAGAGAACATGGTGAAATCATCTTTACTCTCGACAGGCTGCAGCCATGTCATGAATTCCTCTTTTCCAGCCACTTTTTGCAGTTTGCATCGTCCTATTCTCTAGCTCTTTCTCGAGCTTCTTTTCCAAACAACTGCTTTATGATCAATTGCAGCAGTTCTGCGCAAATTAATTGTGTTAAAAAAATTGTCACTTTTTAAACACCACAATGTATTAAATAAATACAAATGCTGGGAACCAATTCTTTTTTACATTTCTTTAATATTTTGTTCTATTCAGCTACACAAGCATCCTCTTTAAACTACTAAGAATTGTGCTATAAATGTGACTTTACCCGATTCTTATGTACACCTTAGTAATTTATTGATATGCCGCACAATGTCCTCCTTTTTGGTGCTATAGAAATGGCCACCCTAAGATGGACCCACTATTCAAGATGAGACAGCCAGTAGGAAAGTTCAAAATGTTTATTAACACAAAACAAGACAGAAACGAAGTGCGGTGCTGTGGATCCGCGGCTGTAGGAGGTGGACGGGGCACCGCCCAATCACTGACACTCTGGTGGAAAGAAACACAGGTTTCAAAGTTCAGTCCATCTCCCTAGAGAGGGGTGCGATCCAGCTGACGGGCTGACAACCAGACACATCATGCGTCGCCCAGAGTGTCTCAGATGCTGCAGCCCTAGGGAAGTAGCAGGAGGCTGATCCAGGTCAGGGGAAGGCAGAGCAGGCAGGAACAGTTCAGAAATCCAGAGAACCTCCACTCCATTAGAGGTTTCCACCCAAACAGGAACAGCAGGATCAGACTTCCAGGAATCCAC